AACTTGTGTGAAAAATCGGCCACAACTCCAATTTTTTTGCACACGAATAATATATATATATATACTAGAACATACTGCTATATAAAAATTAGGGGCTCTAGAAACTTTAAAGGCGCATATAGAATGCGTCGTTCCTGGCGCATTTACTCTTGCTGATAAGACAAATAAAACTGATTAACCGTCTTCTATCTATGATAGGCTATCATAAAACTCCCCCGGAGTCCCATTCCTTCCGCAACGCCTTTGAACCGTCTTTTCAGTTACGGTACTTTTGGTATAGAGTGGGCGGCCGATAGCCCTGACTACACCATATTATTACTAATAGATTCTGTATGTGCGTATGTATGTAGCGCACCTTATCACTCATTCAAAGTTAACTGATCAAGCTGAAACCTGGACAGATCGATCAGAATTGTGTCTTAGTTGATGGCCGAACTTTTGGTTTTTCGAAATTTTGATTTTGAAAGTCTTTTGGAGACTTTCCTTGGTTTCACCGCAGTGAAGGGTGGTGGGCTGCCAGGAGGTTTAGCCCCGAAGGGGCGTAAACAGACTGGTGCTTGAACAAATGATAAAACTGATAACTGATATTGAAGTTACGAGAAGGGATACAAGCCAAGACCGGCGGTCCGGCCGTTTTGGGCGATTCGCGCGTCTCTAACGCTAACTTTCTTCTTCCTGGTCAACTAAACTAGAACCTTCTAGTCTAGAAGGGATTTAACAGAAAACACTCACTTGTCACGTAGCTCCTCTACGACTCCTCGCCGAGAAGGAGGATAAGAGAGAGAGAGAGAGAGAGAGATAAGGAGATAATCCCTATCACATGAGCTTTTCGCTGAGCCGGGAACAAAACATTGGTATTGCTCAGCTTTCATTACAGAAAATCCGTAGAGCTAATTCCAGACAAATTCAGGTCCCAAAATTGATTTAAAACGAGCAGAAAATGGCCAAAAATATGCCTGAAAAAATGTGCTCAAAAAATTCATCTAGGGAAACGCCAGAAATGACCAATAACGGGCAATTTTCATCTAGAAAAACGCATATTTATAACCTAGAAAGTCCCAAATTCTAGCTATTTTCAACTAGAACTGGCTGGAAATAGGTCCAAATAGGTCCTAACACGTCCTAAAGGCTCCAAAATTCACATTTTTAGGTCCAAATAGGTTCAAAACGGCCCAAATAAGTCGAGAAACGTCCAAAATGTAGCCTAAAAGGGTCCAAATTCACATTTTTAGATACCAAAAAACTCGATAAATAGGTCCAAATAGGTTCAAAACGCTCAAAAATTCACATTTTTAGATCCTAAAAACCTCAAAATCTCACTTTTTGCGGCCTAAATCTCGAAAAATGACTCAAAATAGGTCGAAAACAGCTAAAATGATATGTTTTTGTGGTTTTTGGTGTCCTTACAACTAGAAAATAGAGAAAAAAAATGAGGAGATTGATGATGACGATGCACTTTGTGTTGTGGTTGGTTTACTATTAGTTAGATGGAGAGAGAGGGAGAGACGCAGAGAAGCTAGAGAGAGAGGGAGTGAGCAAATAGGAGTAATGTGATTAGTTAAAGAGAGCAGACAGAGTGGAGGTGTTGGTGTCTCAAAAATTGCAAAAAAAAAATCGATTTTAGAGTCTGAAAACTGCCAAAAATAGGGATTAAAGTGTCCCAAAATCGATTTTAAAGCTTAAAAACTGCCAAAAACAGGGGTAAAATGCCCCAAAATCCATGAAAATAGTCGTTTTTGACCCCCATTTTTGCCATTTTTCCGACAAAATGGACGATTTTTAGGGCATTTTTAGCCTCTTTCCGACGATCCTGTATTCTCCAAATCGATTTTATGAACTAGAAATCACTAAAAAAAGGGATTGAAATGTTTCAAAATCGACAAAAAACCCTCGGAAAAATCGATTTTAGAGCCCAAAAAGTGCTGAAAACGGGGATAAAATGTCCCAAAATCCATGAAAATAGTCATTTTTGACTCGTTTTTTGCGGATTTTAAACGATTTTAACTATTTTCAGACCATTTTCAGTCAATTTTCAGCCAATTCTCGCTTATTTTTACTCTAAAAAACGTGAGTTTCCCTCAAGAGCTGTCTATATGAATCAGGGCCACAACACAAACAATTGACATATGATTCTTCGAAAAATCACCTGACTGTCATTTCTCTCTTTCTGAGAGCTCTCGGAGCCCATCGGAGCCGAGCTCTCTTAGATTGCTCAGCACAAGAAATACAACAAAAAAATGGCTGTACGAAAACAGGAAAAATAGAATTTTGTGACTTGTTTTCGAGAGACAAATCTTGTCTTTTTGGTGGTTTTTAAGTGAAAAATCGACCCAAAATCGGCTAAAAATGACTGAAAATGACTGAAAATCCAAGAAAAATAGGTTAAAAATCGCTGAAAATCTCTAGAAAACATCCACACTCACTCAAAAATCACTTCCATTTCAACCTTCATTTTTGAGCTAAAAATGGTGGAAATATAGTTTTTGGAGTCGAAAACTTGGCTTAAAAAGACTGAAAATCCAAGAAATGTAGTCTGAAATTCGCATGGAACTGACTAGAAAAACCCCAAAAAGTCACCAAAATCCAGGTTCAGCCTCATTTTTGAGCTAGAAATGCTCGAAAATTGACTCAAAATCGATGTAAAATGACTGAAAATCCAAGAAAAATAGTCTGAAAATCGCTGAAAATGAATCAAAAATGTCGTTAAAGCGTTTCTAAGCAAATTTTCAGCTCTTCCTGTCCCTTTAAGATGGTGGAAAAAGGCGACAAAAGGCAAAAAATGTGTTCAATTTTTGATGGAAACTCCCTTTTTCCTCTTTTTTGTGCTCTTTTTTCCTTAACATACACAGGAAATGCTTCAAAGGGATGGAGAGTTGACACGCGATTTCCTTCCTTCCCCTCCTTTTTTGGGGTGTTTTGGGACTCAAAAGTTTTTAGCTTAAAAATATTTCTCAGCCTAAAAACAGCTGAAAATGGGTTTTTTGAGACCATTTTTAACTATTTTCAGCAGAATTTTGACGATTTTAAGCTATTTCAAGACTTTTTAGGGTCATTTTGGACCATTTTCAGCTAATTTTGGACCAGTTCAGGGTCATTTTGGATTATTTTCGGCTGATTTTAGTCTATTTTAAGACGATTTCCGACACTTTTTCGCTGATTTTGGACTATTTTCAGCTATGTCAAGAGCGTTTTTAGCTCAAAAATATGTTGCTGAATATGAGCATTTTCTGTGTCTGAAAAAGACATTCGTTCGGCTCATTTTTGATCATTTTTGAGCACTTTTTGGGGTTGAAAAATGTAGAAAAATGGGGGGAAAAATCCACTTTTGAGCAGGCTAAAAAATGCAAAAAAAAACGGGGAAAAGCAGAGAAAAAGGAGCGATAAACGAATCTTCTCTCAAAGGACGACAAAAAGTAGAAGTGCAACAAAAAAAAAGGAATGTGTCCCAGAAGACGGCCTAAACTGAACTAGAAGAAAGAAAAAAGTGGTTCGAAAGGTTCGAAAAGCTCAACAAGGAACCAAAAATCGTACAAATCGCTAGAAAATGGTCCCACTTTGGCTTAAAATGGTCCAAAATCGTCTTCAAATAGTCTAAAATCAGCTGAAAATGGCCCAAATTTGGCTGAAAATGGTCCAAAAAGACCTGAAATTAAAAAATGGTCCAAATTTGGCTTGAAAATGGTCCAAAACTGGCTTAAAATGGTCCAAAACTGGCTTAAAATGGTCCAAAACTGGCTTAAAATGGTCCAAAATTGGCTGAAAATGGTCCAAAAAGACCTGAAAAATCGTTTAAAAAATGGTCCAAATTTGGCTTGAAAATGGTCCAAAACTGGCTTAAAATGGTCCAAAACTGGCTTAAAATGGTCCAAAACTGGCTTAAAATGGTCCAAAACTGGCTTAAAATGGTCCAAAATCAGCTGAAAATGGTCCCAAAAAACCCATTTTCAGCTCTTTTTAGGCATGAAATAGTCCCAGAAGACCCTAAGACCCGGAAGGTTCAAAAAGCTAAAAAGAGGTCCAAATAGTCTAATGTAGCTGAAAATGGTCCAAAACGACCCTACAAGGACTCAAAATAGCTGAAAATGGTCCAAAATCAGCAAAAAAAGAGGTCCAAATAGTCTAAAGGAGCTTAAAATAGTCAAAAATCGCCTTAAAATGGCCCAAAAAAGCCCATTTTCCACTGTTTTTGGGGCATGAAATGGTTCAAAATCCCTCAAATTTTATCTGAAACCCTCTTAAAAATAGGATTTAAAGCTATTTTTTGAGCATTTTCTCAGTGAAAACTCTTCAAAAAATGCCTAAAAACGTCTTAAATCCCCCAAATTTGACCTCTAAACTTTTTAAAATTCGATTTTCACCCATTTTCTGGCCATTTTGGCTCATTTATCGGGCATTTTTGGGGTCAAAACTCCTCTAAAAATGTCCAAAATTTGGGAATTTCATCCATCTTCTCCTATTCTATTTGTCTCTTGCCTCCCCCTGTTTCTCTAATCCTCTCCTTCTCATGACGTGATCTGTTTTTCTAGAAGAAAAAAAAACGAAAAATACGCCAAAATTGGCACCTAGATGGTCCAAAACAGGGGTTTTCGGGGCGAAAAAATCACTTTAAGAGCTGAAAAAAGGTCAAAAATAGCGATTTTTGGCTGAAAATTGCCCATTTTCAGCACTTTTTTCTCAAAAAAAGGCTCAAAAATCGCTCAAAACCTCGTTTTTTCCGGAAAAATCTAGAAATTTCGCAATCTCTAACTCAAAAATCCCGTTTTCTAGGTCGATTTTCTACATTTCTCGACTAAAAATTGCCTAGAAACGCCTAAAAAGGCCTAGAATGGGCCTAAAAATGACCTAAAACAGCGAAATTCCACTCTGCTGGGGGATGGGGTCCGCGGCTATGGCCGCATATTTTGGTGTCTAAAAGAGAGCGGAACGAAAAAAAAGAGAGAGAGAGAGAGAGTGAGAAACCGGAAGAGACGCAGAGAAATCACC